TCGCAACTAATAGATTCCACCGGCGGAGATCTCAGAGGCCCATAACAAATTCCAAATGCATCCCCAGTCGTTCCGCCCCGAACGTACAACACGGTCGTCGATTTTTTTCACCCGACCGCCGCGTTTCTTTTTTTGCGGCCCAGGGGATACAATTTTTTTCCCTCCGCGGCGGCCGACGTAAAGTACCATCTTTTTGCGACAAGTCACCCCCGCAGCCATTTTGCCGGCCGTTTTTATTTCCCCTGTACATTTTTCAAGCCAGCGCGCGCGCGCGGTCCTGTTGATTTGCGGTGAACCGCAATACGAGCTGCGCGAGGAAAATATTGCTCACTTAAAACCGCGATAAATCGAATTCCTTTGTCGGCGGCCGCTCGCTCGGTGGAAACGAAAGCGGCGAGGAAAAAAGAGAGGGCGGCGCAGCAAATTCGGAGGAACGAGCGACTTCCGTTCCGGCTTGTTCGCGTACAAATCCGACGCGGGAACTTCGGCGAGCCGGAAATCCCGATTTGTTCGACGCTTCGCGCGGACACGTCGACGGAAGTGTCGAGCAACGTTTTAACTCGCCGCTGTCCTGATCCCCCGTGATGGACCGGGCATCGGATGTTTATGCGAAACCGTGTTTCCCGCGCGGTAATTCAATGGAACGTGAATAAACCGTTTGCACTCGAAAAATTTGTCACTAGAAATATTCTATTTATTTTTCTGAGATATAGATGACATTTTTTTCAACTAACTTAACACTAGGTTCACGGAACGCGTCAAATTGACGCATATTGGATTTCAGAAATATTATTTTGTAAATGTTTACGCCGATTTTGATTGATGCGATCACACTGGCATGCATCCCAATTACCTACTATCAAATCTCCAGTTTTCACAATCTAAATGAACGAGCATCAATTCTTTTAGGAATAATAGAATGAAGTGTACAATAAATTCCCGTAAACCTAGTGTTAACGAGGGATCTATTCGCAAAATAAGAACAATGGTATTTTATTTCCACATTTCACGTATCGACAGATTACTCAAGATTTAAGTTTGGGTGCTAAACAACTTTTGTGGATATTTACCAAAAATGCGGAAGTGATTGGGTGTGTATGAAAAAAAATTGATAAGAGTATCTTTCAATGACTGTTTTCTATTTCTAGATGAAATGATTGTAAATAGCGCATTGTTCCGTTTTACCATTTCTAAGCAGGTGATAACGAAAATAGATGATTAGAAAGAATACGAATAAACGAAGTTAATTTGATTGTACGAACCGATAGAGTGCCACTTTTAGTTTACTAAATTGAAATCGAAATAAAATTTTAATAAAATCACGCGCATAGGTGTTCTAAATTTTAAAACGACAGTTTAAGTGCTCGGTAGTTTAGTGTTAATTTTCTTGCGATTCTTTGAGTCCTAGGTGACGTGTTAAATTGTAGAATATTTTGAAGGTAGATCATTTTTATGGATTTTCTATTACGGCGGGACGTTTTTAATATATTTTTCTATTTTTCTCAATTTAACACTATTTCTACTGAAGGTATCAAGAGACACATTTTGAAATTTCAACGTGAAATTATTTTCTCGGTTTAATCATTTCTTCTCAATTGAATTTAGCACATTTCCTATGGTCAACTTTGTAATCGTTATTGGAAAAGTCGAAAGTCAATTCAGAATATAGCACTAAACTTGGAAAATAATTTTAAATTAGAATTTCGAAAGGTGACTCTTGACACCTTCGGTAGAAATAGTGTTAAAAGAAGTCGTTTGTTTTGTGAAAATATGCGAAGAATAATATTTTAGCTTCTTAAAAACATTGTCAAATGTTTATTTAATAAATGTATGTTCTTATATGGGAACAGCGAGAACGTACTCGAGTCGACGGAAGCGTTACGAGTAAAATAAGGAAATAGGTTAACTTTGTTAATTTATATAGAAAGCATTCGATCATTTTCTTCGCGTGGACGCGCGAATGTGTAGGTGTACAGAGTTTCCCAGAGCACGAGAAGTTAGCAGATTCTCATTAAAAGAACTTTTTACATTTATCCGGGTTCCCGCGA